TCCTATCTCCAGTATAAAAAATATTGAATGATCTTCCTACTGGAAATAACTGGGAGTGGAGAAAAGTTTTTTTAATTATATAGTAATAATAATTACTATCATAATTTTGCTATATATATGCTTGTGGGTTTTTTTTTTTTTTTTTGGAGGGGTTGTATTGGGGATTGAACTTGAACCTAGGGGCCACTTAACCACTGAGCCACAACACATCCCCAGCCCTTTTTTATATTTTATTTAGAGATGGGGTCTTGCTGAGTTGCTTAGGGCCTCATTAAGTTGCTGAGCCTGGCTTTGAACTCATGATCCTCCTGGCTCAGCCCCCTGAGATGCTGGAATTACAGGCATGTGCCACCATGCCCGATTGGTGTTATTTTTATACAGGGAGGTAACAGCTTTGCAGCAAAAATAAGGAACAATTCAATAATAAAATTACATCCAAATTCTTCAATTTAAAAAGAATATTTGAGAAAGCAAATTTCTCCTACTTCTCAACACAAGTACAATTCCATGTGTTGATCAATTAGAAAGAGACTATTATACTTATTTAGGTATGGAATTCCTGCTCTTAAACAAATATTTTCCAGCCAGGTGTGGTGACACACTCCTGTAATCCCAGTGGCCTCAGCAATTTAGTGAGACACTCAGAAATTTAGCAAGACTTCGTCTCTAAATAGAATACAAAAAAAGGGCTGTGAATGTGGCTCAGTGGTTAAGTACCCCTGGGTTCAACCCCTGGTACCAAAAAATAAAAACAAAAAACCCCAGAAACACACAAAAATATTTTTCAGACATCCATGTAGGCATATGTAATTATCCTTCCCTAGAAGAGTTCCTAAATAGCAAGTTTTTGTTTTTGTTTTTTCTCAACAGTGGATATTACTGATCTTCACAAAAGCAGAGGATAAGAAAACCAAGCAAAGTGTTCAATTCTTGATTAAGGGCTCAGAAAGCATCTGTCTGTCATATATTTTGTCCTTGTTCCCAAGGAAACACATTTGGATTCTTCTTTACTGGAGCTTTTGTATCAAGCTCATTACCTCCAGATTCTTTTTGTTGTTATTGTTGTTGATTGGATCTTTATTTTATTCATTTATTTACATGTGCTGAGAATTGAATCCAGTGCTTGCTAGGCAAGGTCTTTACTACTGAGCCACAACCCCAGCCCAAATTCTATCCATTTTTTAGAAAATATTTAATTATGAAAATAACCCAAGGTCTTAGGATATGGCTCAGTGGTACAGTACTTGCCTAGCATGTACAAAGACTTGAACTGGGTCTCTAGCACCACAAAACAAACAAAACAAAACCCCTCAAAACCACAGGGAGGGTGTGGTCACACATGCCTGCAATCCCAGTGACTCGGAAGGCTGAGGTAGGAGGATTACAAGTTTGAGGCCAGCCTCAGCAATTTAGCATGGTCCTATTAACAACTTAGAAAGACCCTGCCTCAAAATAAAAAATATAAAAGGGCTGGGGAGGTGGCTCAATGTCTGAGCACCCCTGGGTTCAATCCCCAGCACAACAAACAAATCATAAAAAACCCTCAAATCCTTAACAATATATGTAAGCATATGATGATTTAGTCTCTTCCATGCAGACCTTAACCCAGCTTCCTGGATTTAATTGAAGCAGTTTTTGGAATTTTATGTATTTTTCCATGTATATATTATGAATCCTGAGTGTGTGTGTGTGTGTTCTCTAGAAAACTCATGTCATTTCTGCTTTGACTATAAACATCAGGTATTTTTAGTTTTTGTGTAAAAATCCCATTTAAAATCCATTTCTATATTCTGGACCATATTTCTTTTTACATGTTAAGCATTTTTAAAAATTCATTTCTATTTTAGCAGCTTAAGTGCTCAATTGAGAGATGCAACTAGGAAAAAACTGTATTTGCACTGATGACAGCAATTTTCCTTTCACTCTCTAGTTCTGTTCTCCCTGCTGTGCTGCTGAGAGAAAGAGGAAAGATCTGGGAACCACCCTATATAACAGGAGACCCGTTAGTCCTCTTCCCTTTTGGGGGAAACATCTTTCCCAATTTTCACTGGCTGGATGCATCCCCCTGCAAATGTGTCCTGGAGCAAACTATGCACATGAATAGTACCTATCCATAACAGTGAACAGATATTTCTGTTTCATCATGTTCATATAAGTGGATCTTACCTTTCTGAACAATTTTTTTAAATATTTATTTTTTTAGTTGTAGTTGGACCCAATACTTTTATTTTATTTATTTTTATATGGTGCTGAGGATCGAAGCCAGGGACTCACATGTGCTAGGCGAGCGCCCTACCACGGAGCTACAACCCCAGCCCCTCTTAACAATTTTTTTATGGTTTGCTTGAAAAGGCTTTTTTCACAATGTAAAATTATAAAAATGCTGTCCACATTTTCTTCTAGTTTCTTATGATTTAATCATCACACTTAACATATTGATTTATATATGAATTTTAATTTTTTTGATATCCGTTACTCCTTTTTACTTTCCTATTGATCATATAGATAATTAATTTTCAATAAAAGTAATACTATGCTCCACTTAACTGATCCACCTAAACTCAAAAGTAAAGTAGGGTAAATAATTTTATTATGTTGGTCCTTTGTATCATCAGATGAAGAATTGAAGTTAGATTAGATGGCTTCAGTGACGCTTCTGTCTGGGCAGGCAGACTGTGACTGAGAAAAGATTTCATGATCTTACTCTATGAAGGTACAAGGCACATAATACAAGACAGCACTTCCACATAATAACTTTACTTCTCCTTTTCTTGATATGAGTATAGTGAGTGAGGGCCTGGCCACCATATGATAGAAGATTTATCTGATTGCTTTTCTATTGCTGAGTTGCTTAGGGCCTCACTAAGTTGCTGAAGCTGGCTTTTCTATGCCTGATCATTACTTACAAAAAAAAAAAAGAAGAAGAATTCTGAACAGGCTACCTGTGCCTATTTTCAAGAATGACCTGGATTTATATTTTTTCCCTTTTGTTCTTTTTGTTTGTTCTTTGTATTTGTATGTGTGTGTGTCGGGGGGTGTTGGAGATTGAACCCATGGCCTTGTGCATGCTAGGCAAGCATTCTACCACTGAGCTATACCCTCAGTCCCATGGCTTTCTTTTTTTTTTTTTTTAAATCCTTTTTTTTAAATATTTATTTTTTAATTTTCGGCAGACACAACATCTTTATTTGTATGTGGTGCTGAGGATCGAACCCAGGCCGCACGCATGGCAGGCGAGCACGCTACTGCTTGAGCCACATCCCCAGCCCAATGGCTTTCTAATTAATATGATACCAATATATTTGTTGTTGTTTGCTCTTTCAGTGTCGGTCCTCCTGAGTCTTACTCTCTGAAAGTTAAGGAAGGAATCATTAAGGACCAAAGATCAGAATTCATTTCTGGTGTTTTCTGTTTCTTAATCTCATATTGGGATCTTTGGCACTTCCATTTCTTTTTCTGGGACTTAAATACCACAATTTGCTGCAACTCTCCTTTTCATACTTCATATAGTTGTTTGTTTTGAAGACAGAGTGTTGCTAAATTACTTAGGACCTTGCTAAGTTGCTGAGGCTGGTCTCAAACTGGTCTCAAACTCCTGAGTAGCTGGAACATATAATTTTAAATGCAGAATAAAACAAGAATGCATTATGGTTTGCAAGAGTATCCCAAAGGCCCATGTGTTAAAAGCTTGGTTTCCAGTCTATGGCACAATTGGGAGGTGGTGGAACCTTTAGGAGGGGAGCCTAGAAGGAATAGGTCATCAGAAACATGCCCTTGAAGGAAGTATGAGGAATTGGCTCTTCCCTGTCTCTTTCTTTGCTTCCCAACTATCATGAAGTAAACAAGCCCCTTCAACCACACGATTCCATTGTGGAACTGTGCCACCACAGGTCCAAAGCAACAGGGCCAAATGGGCTTAAGCCTCTGAAGTTGTGAGCCAAAATAAACCTTTCTTCCTATAAGTTGATTACTTCAGATATTTTATCCTAGCAACAGAAAGCTGACTAACAGAGTGCTTTTCTTAGCAACTTACAAATGAGTTATTCTATCACATTATACAAGGAAGCATCCTTAATTTGGTTCTGTTATCTGCCTTGCTATTTCTTATGGGGGTAACAGTCCTAGGGTTCCAGAACCAGTTTCCAACGTACAGTTGCCCTGTGTGTGGGATACCCAGGTTGGAAGCCAGAAGACAGAGTAGTGTTTCTTTGCAGTCAGATTGGGATTAATTTCTAAGCCACACAAGGCTTTGCTTTTTGTAAATCATGAGCAATTCATCTTATGACATTTGAATAAGTTGATTTCAACTTGTTTCAAATAAAAAATAAACAGACAAATGCAAAAAAGATACAGAGGTACAGTCATCTATTTTCTATTTGTTTTAGAAATTAGTGGTTCTAGAGAAGTTTCTACTTAGGGAGAAATATGTATTCGTCTCCTATGCTTGATGTAAAAATGAAAGGTGGTCTTTCATTTTTCAAATGAAAATCATTCAAATCAGACAATGATTTCAATCACATTTAAATCACTAATTAAGGGAGCAGGGGTTTTTATAAACTGCAGCTAAAATTGAGAGTGATGCTGTGATTTACTAAAAGCAACTCTCACTGAAACCTAGGCAACAAGAAGGACAGCAGGTGACTGGAATATTTCTAACTCCTAAGTGGGTAGCGTCTCTATTGGTAGCACAGCCACCAATTCATCTGAGACTCGGGGAGGCTGCTGATTTACTTCAGGCAGTGAGATGAGAACCCTCTGTAGAGATACCTGCCCTGAGACAGCAGGGTTACCTGGTAAAGGATTAGTGCTTCACCAAAGGCATTGTGGGACCAAAGAGGTAGATCCCACTGTCCATGTCTTTAGGGCTAACCTCATGCACCCACATCTCATGTGAAACACTATATGGAATCACACTCCTTGAAACCTGGCTAGGGTTAGAAAGTTCATGTTCACCATTTGCTGATGCCTTCTGCTGATAAATACAAACATGAGAGACTCACATGTCTTAGCCACATTCTCCAAAGAATCCAAAATAGATTGGCTTCTTGAACTGAGATGTTCCTCAGACTTTTCCACAGACGTCTGCAACTAAGAAACCCAAAATTAAGAAAACATTCACAGACTGTTGCCTTATTTTACTAACTTGGAGAATTGTCATTTAATGATCAATAAGGGTACTTAAAAATTGTGATTCTACAAGAACTAAAGTCAAGACAGTATAGTTACTAAACTTCTTAAGATGTAAGATGCTCTGACTCCTTAAAATGTAGCTATACTTACCCTATGAATGCTTTCTCTGACCTGGGAAACAAAGTTGTATAGAGTCTCACTAGAATAGGAGAAAAAGAAAAACAACAAAGCTTTGTGAAATATTGAAACAACATGCAACAGAATTGATTCCATGAATATGGCAGGTGTCCATCTAGTATAGCATCAAAATACTGATCAGAGTTGGTGATTCAACCTGAGAAACTTCAGTGCCAGTTGGGGGGGGAAAAAAAGGAGAATGTTAATTGTGACCATTTCCAAGGCAAATCACATTTTTATTTTTAAAATTAACAATATATATATCTTAAATAAGAGTGAATTTTGGGCTGGGGATGTGGCTCAAGCGGTAGCGCACTCGCCTGGCATGTGTGCGGCCCGGGTTCGATCCTCAGCACCACATGCAAACAAAGATGTTGTGTCCGCCGATAACTAAAAAAATAAATAAATATTAAAACTCAAAAAAAAAAAAAAAAAAAAAAAAAAAGAGTGAATTTTAGCAATAAAGTAGTTACTAGAGAAGGAAAGACCACCTTTCATTTTTACATCAACACTGGCTTCAGAAGTAGTGTTTTTTTTCTAGAAGTCCAAAATTCCTAAACACATCTTTGTCTTACCATTATGTTGACCAAAATAATGAAATTAATATACAGACAATTCTAGGGAAAATATTAATTTTCAATGAAAAAGAAATTATGACATATTTCTCAAATAAACATTCCATTCCTTTTTTTCCAGTACTAAGGATTGAATCTAGGGTCTTACACACGCTAGGCAAGTGGTCTACCACTGCGCTACATCCCCAACTCTTTTTATCTATCTATCTATCTATCTATTTTATTTTGGCACAGGGTCTCATTAAGTTGCTCAGGCTGACTTCAAGCTTGCAATTTCCCTGCCTCAACCTCTTTTTTTTTTTTTTAAAGAGAGAGAGAGAGAGAGAGAGAGAGAAAGAGAGAGAGAATTTTTTAATATTTATTTTTTAGTTCTCGGCGGACACAACATCTTTGTATGTAGTGCTGAGGATCGAACCTGGGCCACACACATGCCAGGCGAGCGCGCTACCGCTTGAGCCACATCCCCAGCCCCCTGCCTCAACCTCTTGGGTAGCTGGGATTATAAGACATATGCCACCATGCCCTGCTAAATATCATATTCTTAAAAAGATGAAGACATCGACTGTTATTAATGAAATTCTACAGATTTTGCTTCTTTAATCTATAAAACACAAATAAAAAATCAAATTTTGATATCCAAATATGACAACTCTTCATATTAATTCTGTTAGATATTCTGTAAGACCGACTTTTTTTTTTAAGTTGTTAATCAACTTTTATCCCATGTTAGGCAAGTGTTCTACCACTGAGCTACAACCTCAGCCCCAAGACTGACTTTTTTTTTATTTATTTTTTAAATATTTATTTATTTTTTTATTTTTAGTTTTCGGCGGACACAACATCTTTGTTTTATGTGGTGCTGAGGATCGAACCGGGCCGCACGCATGCCAGGCGAGCGCGCTACCGCTTGAGCCACATCCCCAGCCCCCAAGACTGACTTTTTAACAGAAGAATTTTCATGACTGGGAATGTAATTCAGTGGTACAGTACTTGACTACCATGTGCAGGATCCTGAGTTCTATTCCCACCAAAAAACCCAAAAAAACCTAGAACCATATTCTCCATGTGAGAAAGATTGGGATATTGCTTGGAAGCTTTAAAATGAAAAAAGTAAATTAAGAATTTAAGAAGTGAAAGTTGTTATATTATAAAAGCAGAGAACGAGAAAGAGTACCTAGAAATTAGAAATTAAAAATAGCAGAGGGCTTGGGCTGTAGCTCGTTTTTTTTGAAAAAATAAATAAAATTGATAAACTCTTAGCCACCCTAATGAAAAGAAGAGAGAAAACTCAAATCACTAAAATTCATGATGAAAAAGGAAATATCACAACAAACACTATTGAAATACAGAAGATAATTAGAAACTATTTTGAAAATTTAATACTCTGGTAAAATAGAAAATCCTAAAGACACTGACAAATTTCTAGAAACATATGATATGCTCAAACTTAATCAAAAGGACATACATAATTTAAACAGATCAATTTCAAGCAAGGAAATAGAAGACTCCATCAAAAGCTTACCAACTAAGAAAAGCCAGGGACCAGATGGATTCTCAGCTGAGTTCTATAAGACCTTCAAAGAATAATTAATACCAATACTCTTCAGGTTATTCCATGAAACAGAAAAGGAGGGAACCCTACCAAACTCATTCTGTAAGGCTAGTATCACTCTGATTCCAAAAGACACATCAAGGGGCTGGGGTTGTGGCTCAGTGGTACAGCGCTCACCTAGCATGAGGCTCTGGGTTCGATCCTCAGCACCACATAAAAATAAATAAATAAAATAAAGATATTGTGTCCAACTAAAGAAATAAATTAAAAAAAAAGACACATCAAGGAAAGAAAACTTCAGGCCAATATCCCTGATGAACATAGTGCAAAAATTACCAGTAAAATTCTGGAAAATGACATACAAAAACATATTAAAATGATAGTGCACCACAATCAAGTAGGGTTCATCCCAGGGATGCCAGATTGATTCAACATACAGAAATCAATAAACATAATTCATCACATCAGTAGACTTAAAGACAAGAATCATATGATTATCTCAATAGATGCTAGAAAGCATTTAACAAAAAACAGCACCTCTTCATGTTCAAAACACTAGAAAAACTAGGGATAGTAGAAACAACATACCTCAACATTGTAAAAGCTATCTATGCTAAGCCCAAGAGCAACATCATTTTAAGTGAAGAAAAATTGAAAATATTCCCTCTAAAAACTGGTACAAGAGAGGGATATCCTCTTTTACCACTTCTATTCAACAGTCCTTGAAACTTTAGCTAGAGCAATCAGACAGATGAAAGAAATTAAAGGGATACAAACAGGAAAAGAACTCCAACTATCACTATTTGCTGATGACATGATTCTATATTTAGAAGATCCAAATAATTCCATAAGAAAACTTCTAAAACTAATAAATGAATTCAGCAAAGTAGCAGGATATAAAATCAATATCCACAAATCAAATGCATTTCTAATCATAAGTGATGAATCCTCTGCAAGAGAAATTAGAAAAACCACCCCATTCATGATGGCCTCAAAAAAACAAAAACAAACAAACAAAAAAAACTTGGGAATCAATCTAACAAAAGAGGTGAAAAACCTCTACAATGAAAACTATAGAACACTAAAGAAAGAAATTGAAGAGACGTCAGAAGATGTAAAGATCTCCCATGCTCTTGGATAGGCAGAATTAATATAATCAAAATGGCCATACTACCAAAACTGTTATACAGATTAAATGCAATTCCTTTAAAAATCCCAATGACAGGGCTGGGGACGTGGTTCAAGCGGTAGCGCGCTTGCCTGGCATGTGCAGGGTGCTGGGTTCGATCCTCAGCACCACATAAAAATAAAATAAAGATGTTGTGTCCACCAAAAACTAAAAAATAAATATTAAAAAATTCTCTCTCTCTCTCTCTTAAAAAAAATTAAAAAAAAATCCCAATGACATTCTTCACAGAACCACAAAAAGCAATCATGAAACTCATTTGGAAAAATAAAAAGACCCAGAATAGCTAAGGCAGTCCTTAGCAAGAAGAGTAAAGCAGGAGGCATAACAATATCAGACCTTAAACTATATTACAGAGCAATTGTAACAAAAATAGCATAGTATTTACCAAAATAGACATGTAGACCAATGGTAAAAAAGAGAAGACACAGAGACAAACCCACATAAATATGGTTATTTCATACTAGACAAAGGTACTAAAAACATACATTGGAGAAAAGATAGCCTCTTCAACAAATGGTGCTGGGAAAACTGGAAATCCATATGTAGTAGAATGAAATTGAACTTCTGTCTCTTACCCTGCACAAAAATCAATTCAAAGTGGATTAATGACTTAGACACTAGAACAGAGACCCTGGGCCTAACAGAAGAAAAAGTAGGCCCAAATCTTCATCATGTTGGCTTAGGATCTGACTTCCTGAACAAGACTCCTAAAGCACAAGAAGTAAAATCAAGAATCAATAAATGAGATAGATTCAAACTCAAAAACTTCTTCTCAGCAAAAAAAAAAAAAAAAAAAAAAAAAATCAATAATGTGATGAGAGTGCCTACAGAATGGGAAAAAAAATCTTTGCCACACCCACCTCAGACAGAGCACTAATATCCAGGATATATAAAGGACTTAAAAACTGGGCCAGGGGCTGGGATTGTGGCTCTGCGGTAGATTGCTCGCCTAGCATGGGCGGGACCCTAGTTCGATCCTCAGCACCACATAAAAATAAAGGCATTGTGTTAAAAAAAAAAAAAAAAAAAGTTAAAAAAAAGGAAGAAAAAGAAATCTTAAAAAAAAAAAAAAAACTGGGCCAGAGTTGTGACTCAGTGGTAGAGTGCTTGCCTAGCATGCATGAGGTACATACAGCGTTTAATCCCCGGCACCACATAAAAATAAATAAATAAAATAAAGGTATTGTGTCCATCTACAACTAAAAAAATATTTTTAAAATACCTCAAAAACATAATAGCAAAAAACCCAAATAACCCAATGAATAAATGGGCTAAGGAAATGAACAGACAATTTACAGAAGAAATATAATCAATCAACAAACATATGAAAAAATGTTCATCATCTCTAACAATTAGAGAAATGCAAATCAAAACTAAGATTTCAATTCACTTATCAAGAATACAAGCAATAATAAGTGTTGGCTAGGATGTGGGGGAAAAGGTATACTCATACATTGTTGGTGGAACTGCAAATTGGTACAACTACTATAGAAAGCAGTATGGAGATAGATACCTCAGGAAATTTGGAATGAATTCACCATTTGACCCAGCTATCCCGCTCCTTGGGTTTATACCCAAAGGACTTAAAATCAGCATACTACAGTGACTCTGCCACATCAATGTTTATAGCAGCTCAATTCACAGTAGCTAAACTATGGAACCAACCTAGATGCCCTTCAACTGATGAATGGATAAAGAAAATCCGGTGCATATACTCAATGAAATATTATTCAGCCTTAAAGAAGAATAAAATTATGGCATTTGCAGGTAAATGGATGGAACTAGAGAATATCATGCTAAGTGAAATAAGCCAAACCCAAAAAAACAAAAGCTGAATGGTTTCTCTGATAAGCGGATGCTGATCCATAGTGGGGTAGGGGGTGGGGAATAGGAAAGAATGAAGGAACTTTGGTTTGTGTAGAGGGGAGTAAGGGGAGGGGTGGGTTATGGGGATGGGGAGGACAGTAGAAAGAAATGAACATTATTATCCTATTTACATGTATAATTACACTACTGGAGTAACTCTGAACTAAGTACAGACTGAGGAATGAGAAGTTGTGCTCCATTTGTGTAGTATATGTCAAAATGCATTCTACTATAACATAAATAAATTTAAAAAAAGAACAAGGCAGAGGTTATTTTGTTTGTTTGATTGATTGTTTGATTGATTTTGTTACTGGAGATTGAACTCAGGGACACTTAACCACTGAGTCACATCCCCAGCACCCTCCCCGCTTTTTTGAGTTTTTATTTTGAGATAGGGTCTCTCTGAGTTGATAAGGGCCTTACTGAATTGCTGAGGCTGACTTTGAACTCACGATACTTCTGCCTCAGCCTCCCAGGTTTCTGGGGTTACCTGCGTGGGCCATCATGCCTAGAATAAGAGTTATTTTGTATGTCAAGCTAAATAGGCTGAGAGATGTCCAGATAGCTTATGAAACGTTATTTATAAGTGTGTATATGAAGGTTTTTGTCTAAGGATTACATGTGAATTTGTAGGATGAGTACAGAAGATAACCCTTATCAATGTACATGGATATCATCTAATGTGTTGAAGGCCCAAATAGAACAGAAAGATAAAAGAAGGGCAAATTCACTCCTTCTTCTTGAGCTGGGATATCCATCTTGTTAGACATTAGAGCCCCCTGGTTGTCAGGCTTTCAAACTCCAGGACTTGTACCAGCAGCCACCACTCGCCTTCCTTCTCAGGCCTCCTGACTCAGACTGAGTTATACCTGTGGCTTTCCTGGTTCTCTAACTTGCAGATAGCAGATTATGGCACTTCTTGGTCTAGACAATCTCATGAGCCAATTCATATAATAAGTCAATCTCTGTAACTTTTTTTCTTTGTCTCTGTCTCTTCTTCTCTCTATATACATATAAATCTTATTGATTCTGTTTCTCTGGAGAACATTAATACATGCTATCATATTGAAATTTAATTCTTTGATTACTGACACTCCCTTTTGTTTCCCTCAGAAAAACACAAGCTGCCTTATTCACTTGAAAATGTTTCATACCTGTCACATTGATCTTTTGTCCTTTTGTTTTTCTCCTCAAACTGTGTCAAAAGACCTTTTGACTTTCCAACTGGCAAAGGAAGAGAAAATAGGCCTATATCTTTTGTATCTCCTGCAAAGAGCTGGGGTTTTGTCTGGTACTTTGTGAAAATACTAGGTTCACTCTGTTAAATGAACAAAAAAAATCAATATAGCATTTCACACATAAAAATGCATAACATTCACTATTTTCTATATAATTCAGAATCATATTTAAGTGCAAACCTTATTGCTAAAAACAATATAGCATGTAGCTTTTTTGAATTTCTGTGTCTAACAGGAAATTATATTTACAATAAAACAACTCTTTCTATTAATAGGGTTTCTACCTTACCAGCAAAGATATTTAAAATATCAGTTAAGATTGCTTTAAAATTAATTGCATAAATTTACAGGCAACAACAGAAAATTATTTATGCTATCTCTGAGATGATGTATTAAAGTTTTTAAATGAATAAGTTTAACTAGATTTGCTGATTTTATCTGCTAGTGAATTAAAATACCTATTGATAAGTTTGACATGGATTGGACAATGGTCATGATATCATATGGTGAACCATTTCCTGTATTCAAGGATTCAAGAGACTGTTCCCTCTCCTGGCCCTTATTCATTATCTTGGCCCTCAAAAATCCTCATTTTCTTCCTTCATCAATAATATAATGTAGCTGGGTGCAGATTACACACCTGTAATCCCAGTGGCTTGGGAGGCTGAGGCAGAAGGATCACAAGTTCAAAGCCAGCCTCAGCAACTTAGTGAAGCCCTAAACAACTCCATGAGACCCTGTCTCTAAATAATATATTAAAAAGGGCTGGGGATTTGGCTCAGTGGTTAAGTGCCCCGGGGTTCAATCCCCATTACCGCCCCCCGCAAAAAAATAAATGTAGTATAGTTGATTGAAATCCACAAAGTATGTGAAGTTTCTTAGGAAAAAGTCTATTTAATATAAAATTTATGTAATTTATTCCTATTGTATGTAAATTTTTTTCTTACAAATTTTCACAAAAAAATTAGTGTGACTAGACTTAGGAAATGTATGCAGTATAAGCCTTTTCCTAGAAGCAGTCAGGGACTAACAGTATTTTATATCATTTGGGTAAGAGAAGAAATTGCAAGTATTATTATTTTTTGTTCACTTCAGACCACCAAGTCAAATCTATAGTAGCTTTAAAAATGTATGATTCTACTATATATTGGTATGAAATACATGAAGAGAAATTCTGGAAATCAGACTCACATCCAGAGAATTCTGTTGTGACTGTTTTGAATGTCTCAAGTGGGCACTGAAATCCAAGGGTGCTGACAGGGTCTCTGAATTTTCTGGACAAAACTGAGATCCAAAGAGGAACTGAGAATCACTGAGAGCAGTATAATCAGTCTGATTATTATTCCAGTTAGATGACTTAGTGGCCCTAAAATTAAGCAAGATAAATATATTAAGTGGACATATAACCTAAACAATGAAAACATAATTTACAAGTGTTTACTTCAGAATATCCTGGGCACAGGGCTAACTTACTCTGACTTTTAAGCCCCCTGTACATGGCCAGTAATATGTACAAAGAAGCACAAGAAAGGAGCTGGAGTTGGTCATGGTGGACCTGGCCTCTAATCCCAGTTAATCAGGAGGCTGGGGCAGGAAGATTGCAAGTTGAGAGTCCAGCCTCCACAATTTAGCAAGGCCCTAAGCAACTTAGCTAGACCTTGCCTCAAAAAAAAAAAAAGAAAGAAAGAAAGAAAGAAGGAACAAAAGAAAGAAGGAGGAGGGAAGGAGAGAGGGAAGAAGGGAGTGTGGATCTGGAGATAGAACTCAGTAGAAGAACACTTGTCTAGCATGCTCAAGGTCCTGGGTTTGATCCCTGGCACCACAACACACACCACACAAGAACATTTTGAATGCCACACATTTTTATTATAACCAGTGTTAGAAATACTCAGGCTCTGCAAGAAATCAAACATGTGTTTGAAAGAATGTGGGCAAAGCAAACTTTACTTCTGCCACAAGGCATGCTAGGGAACCTGGCTAGCAAGTACCCCTGGGTGGGCAATTTTATATCCCTAACACTGCACTGCCCTTTGCCCTGATTAGAGGAGTTGATTGGCTAATTTTAAAATTAGGGCCAGCAAGATAAGGGCTATAGTTAAAATGGTTACAACTGCTTTCAATTAGGACTAAATGTTCTTTTTTAGTACCTGGGATTGAACCCAGGGGCCCTTAACCACTGAGCCACAGACCTAGCCCTTTTTATTTAATTAATTAATTTATTTACTAGTTGTAATTGGACACAATACCTTTATTTATTTATTTTTATGTGGTGCTGAAGATCAAACTCAGTGCTTTGCACTTGCTAGGCAAGTGCTCTACGGCTAAGCCACAACCCCAGCCCCATTATTTTTTATTTTGAGACAGGGGCTCACTAAATTGTTTAGGGCCTCGCTAAGTTGCTGAGGCTTTGAACTTTCAATCTTTCTGCCTCAGCCTCCTGCCTTAGCCTCCTGAGTCACTGGGATTACAGGCAGGCACCATCACATCCAGAAGCTGGAGTGACTATTATTTCCATGGTACCTAAAAATTGCACACACAATCAAACATATATATGAACACTGACTTGATTTTATTCCTTACTACTTCAATAGAGTTGCCCCAACTAAGGTCAGTTCCAAATGTTGAACTATCTCTGATTCTCATAGGTCCAATCCGTAGGCCCAATGTAGGGTAAAAAGTCATTGCTCAGTTAACATATGAATTAACATCACTTTTGTAATCAATAAATGGGAAAAAGACACAAGAAGGAGCAATGGTGACAGAGGATTAGAAGAGATAGTACAGAGCATTTCTACCACTACAACCCAATAGGAAGGGGACCTTCTTTCTAGAATCAATAAGACTCTCTCTTTTTTTTAATTGTAGATGAACACAATACATTTATTTTGTTTTATTACTTATTTTTATTTGGTGCTGAGGATGGAACCCAGTGCTTCACACATGCTAGGTAAGCGCTGTACTACTCAGCTATAACCACAACCCCTAAGTATCTTAAGTATCAAAGAATATAGCCAGAAAACTTACCCTGGGCCTGAAGGAATACTGAGCATCTCTTTGATGTTCCAGACATTAAAATTCATTTCTTCTGATTATCTCTATTAAAAGAACAGAGGAATATTAATTAAGAAGGTTAACATGATATAATATTTTCCAAAGAAAAGTAATTTTACTAGTAATCTTACTACATGTAAATGAGGACATTTCAGCAGTTACATTCCCATCCAGTTAATGAAAATTTGTGTTACCTATGTGCCAAAAATAGGTTATCTTCTATCATTAAATTGCACACAACTGGGTGCAATGATGCATGCCTGTAATTCCAGAGACTTAGTCTGAAGCAGGAAGACTGCAGGTTCAACAGCAGCCTCAGCAACTTAGTGAGACTCTGTCTCAAAATTTAAAAAGTAAAATAAAAGGTCTTGGTATATAGCTCAGTGGTAGAGTGCTCCTGGGTTTAATTCCCAGTATTTAAAAAATGTAAAAAGAAATAAAAAAAAGAGAAAGAAAAAAATATACAAATTCCCACTTGACACCAAGGAATGCTCAAAATCACCTATGAAACTGGAAATTTGCCTTGCTTTGCTCTTTGCCCTTTTCTCTTGTTGTCCTATGAATAATCTGCTTTTAGGAAAGAACCAATATACCTTATCTTTCATTGCTTGATGCAATGAATGACTTAACCCATTACCTCTCCCAAGAAGACTAGTTTTCCTGAGACCATAAGATATTGGAATGTCAAGAGAGATGTAGAATTTGGGGAATTAAGGAGTCAGATGAAGAGGGAGTGCATTGGATAAAAGTGCCTTCCCACATCTCTTAAAAGCAGTACCTTCTCTACCTACTTTGCTTTTCTGCTCAGTGAGTACTGCATACCATAGGTCATTATTATAACCATACAGCCTGAATTTTTTGTTAAATATTTTTTAGTTGTAGTTGGACACAATATCTTTATTTATTTATTTATTTATATGTGGTGATGAGGATCCAATCCAGTGCCTCACACATGCTAGGCAAGCACTCTGCCACTGAGCCACAACCCCAGGCCTAGCCTGAATTTTATAAGTCTAATTTAGAAATTTTAATACATTTTTTAGTTGGACACAATACCTTCATTTTATGTATTTATTTATTTTTTATGTGGTACTGAGGATTGAATCCAGCGCCTCGCATATGCTAGGTAAGCACTCTACCACTGAGCCACAATCCCAGCCCCTAATTTAGAAATTTATCTTTCCAAACTCAAAAATCATTCATATTTATTAGATAACATTTTACCACTGTGATATCAGAAATATGATTTTTTATCCCTACACATATGGTAGAATAAACCATCAAACATTAAACACTGTCTCAACACAGACCTAACCTAGATAAAATGAAACAGAAGTTCTGAATAAATATTTTAATGTATGTAAAATTTTTCTAATTTTCTAGAAAAACAGATGCATTTTTTGGTGTTTATAAATACTTGTTCTACATGAATGTTAAGTACAGACCATAAGATCAAGGGGCTATAAGCACTGCCATTTACAGTTTTGTATTGTGTGCTAGGTACAATGCTAGTGTACATTTATTTAATCCTCCCAATGATTTTTTGAGGCAGGTGTTATCACCATTTTTTTGTGAGCAAAGTTCATATAAGCTAATTAACCAGCTCAAGTCCTCTCCAATAATTAGGGGTAAGAAGTTTCCAAGCTAGGTGACTTCAGTACAATAAGTCATGATATTTCAAGTACACCAGTCTGTTTCTTAACATTGGCTGTTTGAGGGTACTTTTTAGAACTAAGCATCTCTAATGTTTCCCTGTATTAATAGCAAGGTAATAAATGGGAAGGTTATGTCTTTTGAGGCACCAGACCAAGATTCAAATCCTAACTCTTCTACCTACAAACTGAGTGAACTTGGGAAAATCAGTTAACTTCTTTGAACCTCAGTTTCCTCATTAGTTAAATGAGCATAAGACAATAACTATCTTAAAAGAATGGGGAATGGAGGGTAGAAACTGGTGCCATGGCAAATGCCAGCAATCCCAGCAGCTCTGGGATGCTGAAGCAGGAGGATCTCAAGTTCAAGGCCAGCCTCAGCATTCTAGTAAGGTTAGTGAGACCCTGTGTCAAAATAAAAATGAAAAGGGATGGGAATGTAGCTCAATGAATGGTTTAGTGTCCCTGGGTTCAATTCTTGGTACTAAAACAAAAAAAAAGAATTCGGATAAAGATTCAAGAGGATGACTATGAGGTAGCTCAGTGGCAGTGGTAAAATGCAAGTTTAACATGCATGAAGCCCTGGGTTCAATCCACAGCAGCAACAACAAAACAACAACAACAAATGTAATATCTAGTACCTGGTATGGAAACTGGTACTTATTAGCTGCTTCTTAATTACTGTCTCAGACTCTGGCTTTACCTTTCTCAAATGAATCCATGGTTTCCTTGGGCTGACCACATTCACCTGCTCTCAGTTCATAGGACTCCATATAACAGATCATAAACTCTCACATTCACTCCAGCAGCAAAAAAAGTTCCTGCAGAGTTGAAACTGAGTATTACAGTTAATTTTTTGGTCTCAACCCTCCTGAACAGAGTTTAGATAATTTCTTCTTTGTAAATCAATGCAATATTGCTTTCCCACAAAGCAAATAAATATGTATTTTTTGTTGTTTGTTTTTTATGGTAATGGTGATTGAGCCCAGGGGCACTCTACCTGTAAGCCACATCCCAAGATCCTTTAAACATTTTTTTTTTAACTTTGAGACAGTGTCTTGCTAAACTTCCCCTCAAACTTGTGAATCCCCTGCCTCAGCCTCCCTAATCGCTGAGATTACTGGTATGCGCCATTGCTCCTAGCAAGCAAATAAATTAGTAAAATACCTCAGAGTGAGATGAGAACTTAAAAAAAAATTTAAAAAACCCAGCTAAGCAAGAAGCAGTGTTGCGTAATCCCAGCAGCTCGGAGGCTGAGGCAGGAGGATTAAAAATTCAAAGTCAGCCTCAGCAATTTAGAGAGGCCCTGAGCAACTACTGAGACCCTGTCTCAAAATAAAAAGCAGGTTGGGGATATGGCTCAGTGGTTAAGTGCCCCTGGGTTTAATCCCTGGTACCAAACACAAACAAACAAAAAACCCAGCTACATTACTAAAATGGGTTCCACTGGTGAATTCTTTGAAACAGACTAAGGAAATAATTATACCAATTTTCTCCAATCTCTTCCAGAAGATAGAAGTTCTGAGGATCCTTTCTAACTTATTCTATGAGACCAGTATTACCCCATACTAGTCAAAGACATTACATGAAAACTGGACCACCATCACTCATGAATACATGCAAAGTCCTCAACAAAATATAATCAAGCAGAATCCAACAACTTAAAGAGAATTATAAAGCATAACCCAGTGGGATTCATTCCAGACATTCAAGGCTGTTTCAACATTCAAAAACGAATTGATGAGGGCTAAGGTTGTGGCTCAGTGGGAGAGAACTTACCTCATATGTGTGGGGCACTGGGTTCTATCCTCAGCACCACATAAATAAATAAAATAAAGGTATTGTGTCCATTTACAACTAAATTTTTTTAAAAAAATGATCCACCACATTAACAGACTAAAGAGGAAAAATTACATGATCAGATCAATAGATGCAGAAAAAGAAAGCATTTAACAAAATCCAACACTGATTAAAAAAAAAAACAACTCTCAGCAGCTGAGTGTAATCCTAGCAACTGAGGAGACTGAGGCAGGAGGATCAAAAATTTGAAGTCTGCCTGGGCAATTAATTCAGTGATACTCTGTCTAAAAATATATTTAAAAAAAAAAAAAACAGTCTGGAGATGAAACTCAGTGGTAGAGTACTGGCTTAGCATATGCAAGGCTCTGGATAGAATACCTAGTACCAAAGTGAGGGAGAGCTTCTCAACAAACCAGGAATAAAGGCGAAAGTCCTCAACTTGATGAATAGCTTCAACAAACCTAGAGCTAACATCATATTTAATGGTGAGAAACTAAAATTTCCTGCCAACATCAGGAATAAGGCAAGGCTTTCCCTTCTTATCACTCCTTTTCAAACATTGTACTAGAAGTCCTAGAAAATAAAATAAGACCAAAAAGAAAAGAAATAGAAAGCACCAGAATGGGAAGGAATAAATACAACTGTCTTTGTTCACATATTATATGATTGCCTACTTTTTTAAACATTTTTCATTTATCCATTTATGAAAACACACATAATGTTTAAATATATTACTTTATGGAATTTAAGAAGTCAAAGTACTTGTTTTTATATTTAACAGTTGTTGTTTTAGCATTTTACTTTGCAAATTAATCAGATGTCTCCTTTAACAAACACAATGACTGCCTATTTTTTAATATTTATTTTTTAGTTTTAAGTGGACATATATTTTTATTTTATTATTATGTGGTGCTGAGGATCGAACCCAGTGCCTCATGCATGCTAGGCGAGCATTCTATCACTGAGCCATAACCCCAGCTCATGATTGCCTATTTTGAAAATCTAAAAGAATTAACAAAAATATTTCTAGAACTGATAAGTGATTATACTGAGGATACAAAGGATAATCACTTATCAGGATACAAAGTTAACATACAAAATCAATCACTTTCCTATATACCAATAATTAACAAATAGAATTTGAAATTAAAAAACAATAACATTTATATTAGTACTAAAACATCACTTACACCTCTGACAAAACATATGCCAAATATATGAGAAAAACTATAAAACGCTGATGATATAGAAACTTATATTATGAATATTGACAAGCTGATTCTAAAGTTTATAGAGAGCCAAAATACCAAAATAAATAAATAAATAAAAGAGGTGTAAAAGCCAGAGAACAATATCTAGTTTTAAGATTCACTATAAATTTATGAGTAATCAAGACAAAAAAGTAGACAAAAAGATCAATGGAATAGAGAGCCTAGAAGTAGACCCACCCCTAAATATAGTCAACTGATCTTTGAAAGAAAAGCAAAGATAATACAATCAAAAAATAGTCTTTCAACAAATGATGCTAGAACATCATGCAAAAGAAAATAAATTTAGACATAGCTCTTATACCTTTTGCAAAAATTAGCTCAAAACAGATTTTAGACTTAAATAAAATGCAAAAACTATAAAATTCCTAGAAGATAACATAAAGGAAAAGCTAAATGACTCTGGGATTGGGACTGGTGGTAACATTTTAGATACAATGCCAAACATGCTATCCATGAAAGAAACAACTGATCAACTGGACTTCCATTAAAATTTAAAACTTCTAGCTGGGCACAGTGATCTCAGTGTCTGGGGAGACTGAGGCAAGAGGATAATTCGAGGCCAGCCTCAGCAACTTAGTGAGATCATCAACAATTTAGTGAGATGCTGTCTCAAAATAAAAAATAAAAAAGTACCTGGAATGTAGCTCAATGGTAAAGTGCCCCTGGATTCAATCCCCAGAACAACAACAACAAAAAAAAAAAAATAGAAAACTAAAAATTTCTCTGTGAAAGATATTTTCAAGAAAGTGAGGGCTGGGGTGTAGTTCAGTGTAGAGTGTTTGCATTGTGTGTATAAGGCATGGAGTTCCAGGTTTCACCTCAGCACAAGAAAAACAAGAAGCAAGGAAGGGGGTGCTGGAAGAGAAAGGAAGGAAATTTGAAATAAGAAGACAACCTACAGACTAGAAGAAAATCTTTCCAAACTTTTGTTTTTACAGTACTGGAATTGGACCTAGGGGCACGCTACTACTAAACTACAGATATCCCTTGCTGAGGGGATTTATCCCTCCAACATTGACTGTGGGGAGCTTGAGGGCACAGAGAAACCCCTCTAGAGATGGTTTCAGAGAACAGCATCTGCTTTATTGCACAGCAAGAAAAGCTTTTATAGTGGGTATGTACTTTACATATAACAGTCATGATAGGCCAGAGGGGATATATACATATCATTTTTTTTTTAATTAGTAACAAGGAATTATTATATTAACAAGGAACAGATAATTCTTTTTTTAAAGAGAGAGAGAGAGAGAGAGAGAGAGAGAGAGAGAGAGAGAATTTTAATATTTATTTTTTAGTTTTCAGTGGACACAACATCTTTGTTTGTATGTGGTGCTGAGGATCGAACCCGGGCTGCACGCATGCCAGGCGAGCGCGCTACCGCTTGAGCCACATCCCCAGCCCTATACATATCATCTTAACGGAAGTCTAGACACCAAGAGTCCAAAAACTGCCACATAGCCCAACCCCACACCAACAGGGGAATAACTCCTTGTCAAAGGAGCAAGGAAATTGCTCTTGCCAGTGTTCTGACAGCACTTTGTCCCAAAATATAATGTCCTATGAGCAAGATAAACATTCTTCCATGAGAGTCCAAGGTTAGGCCCTGCAGCAATCCCTACACCTTTTTATTTTATTTTACTTTTGGACAGGGTCTCACTAAATTATGGAGGCTGGCCTTGAACTTGAGATCCTCCTGCCTCAGCCTTCTAAGTTGCTGGAATTACAGCGTGCACTGCCACTGCCCAGAAAAAGTAATATCTAATGAAGGATTGGTACACAAAATATACAATGAATTCCCTTGTTGGTACCAGGAATCAAACCCAAGTTCTTACACAAATTAGGCAAGCACTCTACAACTGAGATACATCCCTAGACCTGCAAAAATCTCTTAAACTCAATAATAAACTGGGTGTGGTGGTGCATGCCTATAATGCCAGCTACTCAAGAGACCGAGGTCAGAAGATTGCAAGTTTGAGTCCTGCCTAGACAACCTAAGGTCTCAAAATTAAAAATAAGGATGTGAGGGCAATATACAGAGATTTCTGTCACCCCATTGATCACTAGGATTGACTTGGCTGATCTGGCTAGCTAGGAAGCTGTCTGCTTCCTCTTCACTGCACCATGTGCATCCCTACAGAAACTGCACATTAGGTCAAAGAGGACAATCTTCCCTGTCAGAAGAGGACAATTCTTTGGTCAATGGTATTTGAACAGCTATGCTCACCTGATAGAAACCCCAAACAAGCTCTAAAATTAAAAATAAAAGTTCAGTGGTAGAATACCTTTGGGTTCAGTGGCCAGTAACTCAAAATAAATAAATAAATAAAAGAGCTGCAAGCCAGGCATTGTGATGAGTATCTGTACAGCCAGCTATTTAGGGGGCTAATGCAGGAGGATCATTTCAGGCCAGCCTGGGCACTATAAATAAGACCCCAACTCAAAAATAAATAAATAAGCAAATAAAATTAAATAGAAGAGGTATATTTATGTAAATACAAGACATAGTTTTTTTTTGTTCCCTAAAGAAATTCCTCCTTCTAGAATTTAGACTTAGAATTTAAACAATATTACACATTACTACATCAAGGTGATTATTTAATGTCATTATTCCATACCTAAATAAAACCACTATCATTTTTCATCTCTGTTTCAACTGAGATGAAATTTCTATAGCCCATGTCTTAGGGTTTAGAATATACTAGTTTCCACCTTATCCTAGCAGGATATGTTCCAAGACCCCCAGTGGATGCCTGAAACCACAGATAATACAGAATCCTATGATTTAATGTAATTTAATGCCTTTTCCTTTTCCTTTTTTTTTTGTACTAGGGATTTAGGGACTAAACTCAGGGGGCTTTACCACTAAGCTACATTCACAGTCCTTTTTGAGACAGAATCTAAGTTGCAGGGACTGGCCTAGAACTTGCAATCTTCCTACCTCAGTTTCCTGAGTTACTAGGATAAGGATTCCACCTTTTTTAATATTTATTTTTTAGTTGTAGGTGAACATAATATCTTTATTTCATTTTTATGTGGTTCTGAGGTTTGGATCCAGTGCCTCACATGTGCTAGGTGAGCACTCTAACATTGAACCCCAGCCCCAGCCCCTGACCTTTTTTTTTTAAGTTATTTTTTAGCTGTTGGACCGACCGACCCTTCCTTCCTTCCTTCCTTCCTTCCTTCCTTCCTTCCTTCCTCCCTCCCTTCCTTCCTTCCTTCCTTCCAGGTGCTGAGAATCCAACCCAGTGCTTCACACATGCTCTACCACTGAGCCACAACCCCAGCCCCATTCCACCTTTTTAAAAAAATATGTTTTTAGTTGTAGATGGACAAAATACCTTTATTATAGTTTTATGTGGTGCACAAGATCGAACCCAGTATCTTCCACATGCAAGGCAAGTACTTTACCATTGAGCTACAACCCCAGCCCATCAATTCCACCTTTTTCCATCATAACCACTTACCATCCATTGTAGCCATAACTTTCTGTTTGAAGTGTGACAGCAAAAATTATCATGAATTTCTTTTTCTTTCTTCACAATTTCATGGATAGAAAATTCATTTTTACTGTGTATCTTAGCAACCTCAGAAATATGTGGGGTTTTTTTTCCTTCCTTAAATTGGAAAGACTCACATTTCCACTTTAAGAGAGCACTTTACACCTTTTGTTTGCATTTCTGAATTGAAGCATTGCTACTCTTGCACTTCACAGCCACTGTCACATAAAATAAGGGTTACTTATTGATAACCAAGAAGGCCACTAAGTGACTAATAGGTGGGTAGCATATACAGTGTGGATACACCAAAGAGATGATTCACATTCTAAACAGAATGAAGTGGGACAGTAAGAGATTGCATCATGCTACTAAGAATGAACGAGTGCCAAGTGGGCTGGTGCATGCTTGTAATCCCAGCAGCTAGGGAGGCTGA